TCAAACCTTCAAACCTTCAAATCTTCAAATCTTCAAAATTTCAAACTTTCAAACCATCAAACCCTCAAACCTTCAAACATCCAAACCTCCAATTTCCAAATTACTACAACTACGCCCACACCTCACAACAAAGTTATACCTCATTTACCACTTAAAATGGTATATCACCCACCACTGGTCTCGGCTCGAGTGCCTTTCGATGTATCCGCTGGCGAGTCCCTCTCTTCATCAATGATCAACCTGATCCTCTTGGAGGCTGGCTCTTCCTCTTCTGCAGGGTCGAATGTTTGCTTATCTTCCATAACTAAAAGCGGAGGGGCGAGGTCGTACGGTTCCGCTGGGTGTCCCGGTTTCTTGAAGTTGATTCGACCCTCTTCCTCGTCGACCGGCGCATCGATCGCTTCCGGTACCGCGTCCTCCTCCGCCTCCATCTCGCTGGCTCCGTTCTGCTGCTCCATTTCTTGGTCCTGCTCGACGTAAGGACTTCCGGCATCGATCCCGCTACCGTCGACCTGGAACCGGGCCGGTTCGACCGAGTTGTCGTCCGCCTGGCATATCTCCTCCATCATCATCGTGTCCACTGACATCGAATCTACGGATTTTTGGAGATCGTTGATCCATTTACTGCGAACCTTCTGTACGGTTTTTGTGGATTTGCTGAGTGGACGTTTGATGGAAGTAGAACAGAAAATTTTGGGGAGGTTTTGGATTTGTTTTAGTACCGATGTTGATTAAGCAAAGGAGACTGAAGAGTTTGGTATGTTTTTTGGTAGATTAACTATTTATTCAGACTATTAACTGTTGACCAAATATTTTCAGATTTTTATAATTCGAGAAGAAGGTAATGATGATGGTTGAAGTTATACAAATATAATAAAAACAAAATGAAGATATGTTCAATCAATTAATTTTGATACACCTGATATAGATGAACCGAAAGAAGTTATATTATTTAAATAAGTGTGTCTGTTTTCAAGAAACCGAGTACTCTAGTTAGTATTCTTCGAAACAGTAGAAACAACAAAATAAATGGCAATATAATTATGAAAAAATATCTCGTTAAGTGATACAATCGTGCACCTAAAGAGTTCTCATAATTCAGTTTCCAACTGTCCACGTGGCTGGTTTTATAGTGAGACTTCATGTAGGACAAATTGATCTTCGGCGGTGGCATTTTCAGCATCTCCAGTTCTCGAATCCTTTTCTTCTCCTCTTCTATCTTCAACTGCGCCGCTATCTACACGTTCAACAAGCACATTAACGAAGAAATTAATAGAAAAAAAATGAAAATATTTCGGATACCTCTTCTTCGATCGCGTTCAATTCCTGCGTGCGACACTTGATGTTCTCAAGCAACTCTTCCAACCGGCGATCGAGCGCCATATTTTCTAAAACGGTGCGGGCGAGCTCCACGAGTTTCCCGCGCAATCTCATCCAGCCGATTTGCTGCTTTTGCCTGGACATTTTCCTCAGCTCGATAATTTTCTGATCGATCACTGCTCGTTCGACTTCAAGTTTCCTCAACTCCATTCGCGCGGTCTTTCTGACCTTCGCCAACGGATACTCCTCGTATTGCGCCTATGGAAAGTGTATTAATTATCGGTTATCTCTGAATTCTAATTAGCTCTCATTTATCGAGACGGTTTCACGGAGGAACGACGAAATCTACATACATGGTAATCTTTCCAAGCGTTCTCGTACTCTTTCAGAATCGTCTCTTGCTCTTCGAACTCCGACTTTCTAACTTTGTACTCGTCGTTCAAGTTCAGCTTCGTCAATTCGATTTTATTCAATAGTTCATCGTTGTACTTCCTTTGTCTGCGGAATGTTTGAAACGTTTAAATGGTAATTTAATGGAAACTTGGTGTAGGATCATTGTCGTACTTGTTCAAGCTGACGGTCAGAACAATAATATTCTCGTTCGTGTTCTTAATTCCTTCGTTCAGCTCCTTTCTCATCCGCCATTGCTGCTTCGTCTTCTTTTTGATTTCCTTCACCTCGGTGTCGAGAGCTGAGAAAGGTTTGTTGTTTCTTAAACAATGGTTTGCGACAATAGGACAATTTCCTTACAGTGCAGCGTCTTCTTTGCTGCCTCGACCTCCACTTGCAGAAGCGTGTCCAGCATGGTGATAAATTGCGGGTCGTCGCAAACTAGTTTGTCCTCCATTTTTGCAGAACAAAGATTCTGATAATACAATAAACAAATACAATGCTGACGATTGAACACTCCGTAAACGAGTCAGAACCTCACGAAACTGAAGTGCTACTCGCTTTCTACAAGGACGCTCTTCCTGATTGGAGGATTCTGTTAGACTCAACTTTGTGCGGGAAATTTGAATCTTCTTACTCAGATCACTTTCTAGAGTCAATGGAAAATTCATAAAATCAACACGATTTTTTTATTACCGTTGGAAAAGGTTTGTAGGTGAGTTTACATTGCAGATGCATCCAGTAAAAATTATAAACAGTAATTGTAAATATTATATGAGTAATATATACATACGATGTTTAACCTAACCTAGAAATGCATCTAGACTTCGTATTAAAGAACGGAAGATTATAATTTCTAGTGAATCGATTTCTGAATAAAAATTGTGGAAAGAATAATTTCTGAAGAAACGTTATTAAACAAAATATATATAATTCCCAATGAAGCAATCTTTGAACAAAACTTGTGAAAAGAATAATTCTTGAATAAATGTTATTAAACGAAATGTATAATTCTCAATGAAGCAATCTCTGAACACAACTTGTGAAAAGAAGAATTCCTGAACAAACGTTATTAAACAAAATACATATAATTCCCAATGAATCAATCTCTGAACACAACTTGCAAAAAGAAGTTTAATTCCTGAACAAACGTTATTAAATAAAATATATATAATTCCCAATGAAGCAATCTCTGAAGAAAAATCCTGTGAAAAGAAACAGAAATTGAGGGGAAGCCAGAGAGAGAATATCCACGAAATTATAATCAGCACGATTTTTTGGCGAGAGAAAGGGGATGGAGGTGAAAGTATCGGCAATTCGCCGAGTGTCCGCGGGATAGGGCAGAAGTGTCGAGGAAGAGGGATGGTCGCAGTTTGGGAGGGTGGCTGCGGTGGTAGTTGCGGAGGAATTCGCGAACACCGGAATGGGATGGCAGGTTGGTTTGACCCAAATGCCAGGCTGGGTTGGCTTTCAGCCAGTTACGTGTCTGCACACTCGGCATCGAAACCTTATCGCTCTTTTTCTCCTGCGAGCCGGTCGGCCGATAACGATTTCCATCCGTGAATAAATTAATCCCCCTATTCTTCGTCACCCGGGGACGAAAAATTAACATCGCGGATGAAGCCTTTTTAAGCGGAATTCGTTTAACCGTTGGAGGCGCTGGAATTTTAATTAAATAACAATAGTCGGTTTTGTTGCACGTGTGATCGTTACAATTATATTAAATGGAACGAAAGAGGATTTTATATGTTTTCTGATATTAAGTGGTTTTCATCTGTGCACCTTGTATTGGTATTTTACATAATAATTATTACATGATAAATTTATTTGATTGATGTATAGGGTGTTTATAAATGATCAATAGGCTTGAGTGTATGTTATACATTGTAGAAAGATATATTGTTATAGGTGTACAGTTATGTTTAAGAATTTTTTATTAAATAACGAAGTTAGATATTTTAAAGTGCGAAATAAATGTTTGGGGATAAAGTATGATAGTTCTAGAGTTCGACGAAATAGAATAATTTCTTTAAAAGCTGACAATCTGAAAAAGCGTCACTAATCCAGCAAAATTGATCTCAGCAACCGATCAGCCGGCTTCGTTTCCGTGATCCAAGTGTCCTCGTCGTTCCGCGTCGCTTCAAATTGGATCGTTCACGCAAGTCATCGACGGTCCTCGATCGCAGCACTCAAAACTTCCGGCGCGCGCAGACACGTTTAACGAGAATCGCGGGAGGAAACGAAGCCACTCGTCTCTTCATTCATCGCCTCGCGTCGTCGCGATCGCCATTTTCGCCAGGCGAAAAAGAAAAATGAAAACGACCGGGAGAATTTCGTTCCGTTCGCACCAGCGAAGGTATTTTTATGGCAGAGCTGCCATGGAAGCTAAGAAAGATATGTGTTATTCGGTTATTTTGCAAATTTACAATTTCCCAGCATTCAAACATTCAAATTTTCAAACTTTCAAACTTTCAATCTATCAAACTATCAAAGTTTCAAATTTTCAAACTATCAAACTTTCAAACTATCAAACTTTCAAAGTATCAAACTATCAAACTATCAAATTAGCAAACTATCAAACTATCAAACTTTCAAACTTTCAAACTATCAAACTTTCAAACCTTCAAACCTTCAAACCTTCAAAGTTGTCAAGTTGCCAAATATTTAACTTCTTAAATTTTCAAGCTTTCGAACCTTCATGTTCTTTACATTGATAATCAACTGCTTCATCATCAACGCTTTCGTTACTGATCAATTATCGCAGTTCCGTTGCAAAGGTACCCTAAATCTCGTCTCTCACGTGGAAGACTAAACGAAGATAGAGTAAACCCGAGACATCGCGCTTATTCTTGTGCTCACACAAATGAGCAGCCGTTAGAACGAAACGCGGGTCTGGCCCGGGTCAAATGCGAGGCTCGTGCGGTTTATTTAATATGACTACGCGAGAGAGCATCTCGTGGAATCCAGGTTTCACGTAACACACCAGCCCGTTGTCAAGTGGAAAAGACAAAGGACCGTCTCACGACAAGCAACGTTTCTCCCCGTGCTACTCGGATCCTGAGCAAAAGCTGCAGGAGAGAAGGATATGTCGCATAATGGCGGCACTTATACACGCTTCGGAGTATGTTAGGTACTTACAATGCGCACGTGAGTTGGGACACTGGCTCTGGCTCTGAACAGTGAGTTGAATAAACATGAAATTTGTTTCTAAAGTGGTTTCTGAGGATTTTGGAACTAGATTTTGGACTGCTTGTAAATTTCTACTGATGCAATGTGTCATTTATTGATCAATAGGGCAATAGTCTTTGGTTAACTAGGTACAAACAGACGAAAGTGTTGACAGAAAGAACAGAACTAGAGTAATTACAAATATGGAAATGGAAGAATTGTCGATAACTCTCCCATTCATCTCGTAACTGTCTTAATGCCTAATCTTAATCTTAAACTAATCGCAAACTTTCAAACTTTCAAACTTTCAAACCTTCAAACCTTCGAACCTTCGAACTTTCGAACCTTCAAACTTCCAAACTTCTAAACTTCCAAACTTCCAAACTTTCAAACTTTCGAACCTTCGAACCTACAAAATTTCAAAGCTTCGAACCTTCGAACCTTCAAACTTCCAAACTTTCAAACCTTCAAACCTTTAAAATTTCAAACCTTCAAACTTTCAAACTTTCAAACTTGTCAAGTTGCCAAATTTTTAACTTCTGAAAGTTTCAAGCTTCCAAACAATTTCGTTTAGAATTAAGAAATTGCAATCGAGTCATTTCCTTTCTAAACAGTGCAACCGTGTCAAGCTGTCCATTTATTTTGAGGAAGCGTGTACTCTATATTCGACAGAATGAATGCTGCTCGTTTCTGTCGCGAAACGACGTAAAGTCGAATCATCGTAAGCAGGACACGACGAAGCGAAAAGGAGCAGCAGGAAGCGAAGATTTGAATTAAAACGTGTCTGCTCGCCGATTGAATCGTTCGGTGCCGGGCGTTTCGTAAAATATACGTTTCCATGGAAATATATTTAAATTCATACGTGTCAGTTTACCCTGCGGGCGGGGGACCGTGATCCGTTTACCCGGACAACGAGGAGCACACGTTAAAGCGGAGCGTACACGAGGCTCGTTGTTCGTTTCACGGGACCGGGGAATATAGGACGCGGCGAAAATAAATAAAAAAAAAGGACCGACGAAAACCGTTTTTTAAAAATATCCCGTGCGCAGGAAGGACGGGGACGTAGAGCGGGAATGAAACTTTTATTTCGCGGGGATATAACGAACGATTCGCTGTTTCATCAAAGTGGAAATACAATTTACATTCGAGGAACGGGAATCGGGAAATATGAATCGCATTTTTTTGCGAAGGAATGAAACAGTATTTGCGAATGAACGATCAACTACTATTTATCAAGCCCGACACCGGTTTTGACGGGACGGCCTCGGCGACGGCCATTTTCTCGGCGTACGCCGCCATTTTGGAAGGAACACGATGGAGAATGGATTTGAATCTGTCGTTTATTGATTGGAAATAGTGATTTGAAAGGAATGAAGAATTAATCATTGTTAATTCTAATGTTCTAGTCATTCAACTGTCTTCAGTCGTTTAATGAGAATATAGAAAATCGAGTTTATTATTAATTCCAATATTCCAATGATTCAACTTCTCTCAATCCTAAAAATACCAAAAAATACTACAATCAATTCTAGTTCCAATTATAAAAAGAATTCTATTTTCACTCATTCGTCTTCTAAAAATACCAAAAAAAATTACAATCAATTCTGCATTGTTCGAATTACAAAAAGAATACTGTTTTCAATCCTTCTTCTAAAAATACCAAAAAAAAACTACAATCAATTCTCCATTGTTCCAATTACAAAAGGAATTCTGTTTTCAATCCTTCTTCTAAAAATACCAAAAAGAAACTACAATCAATCCTATGCTGCTTCAATTACAAAAATACCTGTTAAATTTCGGAATTGCTCGTTAACGCGTTGTTAAATATCTAGCTGCAGACCGAATGCTCCGCGTGCCGCGGTATTCAGAAGGAAATTTGAATGCTCGAGCAGATGCGGCGGAGACAGGGCCGCGACGCGAAATTGAAAAGACGCTGCACAGTGAAAAAAGAAAGGGGGAAAAAAGCACGTTGGCGAGAAGAAAGATGAAAGGGGCGTGTGCACGTGTCTTTGTGACACGGGGTACGTGGCACGGATTTTCGCGTGGCCGACACTTCGCAACTGCGCGCAATTTGCGACGCGCGACGCGCGATCGACGGCGCGGCGTCTGAGTTGACGAGTGCTCGACGCTTTTTAACGCACCGGAGACAAACGGGCGAGGACGAGCCGCGAAGGAGGACGCATCGTTCTCAATGGGAACGCGCCCACAGGGTAGCTGCCTAGCCGGTGTTCCCCGTTCCGCGACCGACAACCTTTCCTCTTCGATCGTGGGAAACTCAATCTGCTCGATACATCGATTCACGATGCAAACGTTCGTTTCACGACGCTCACTTTCAATTACCGAGTGTTTCAGTCGCAGGTAGTTTA